GGAAATTGCTGGTTTGGGGAACCTTGTGGTCATCGAAGCCTCTGAATTAGCCTTTCTCCAGACCTCAAGGCCCTCTCCCTGGCTGCTCCTGAACCCGTTTCTCAGGACAGGAAACCCTGGTTCACAGGCAAATGAGACCAACTCTGGAGCGTGGGCACCTCCACTCCCCAGCCCCCGGCCTTTGTGGCCGGACGTGTCCTCTGAGGGTGATCATGGGAGTGGGGCTAGGGAGGCAGCACCTCCAAGACCCCTCCCAATGCACCCCCAGCCAATGCCGGCCCCTCTGGAGTGCAAAATGTCTCTGCGGGAAGGACTCCCCCTCCCGTCCCCCCCTCCGCTGCTGCCCTCTCCCCCCTCTCCCTGTCCCAAGGACATTTCCATGGTAACAGCTCTTGACATAAACAGGGATTTGAATTAAAGGTGGGAGCTTTGGCTGGGTGCCCAGTCCAAGCCGCACAGAGAATGTGGGGGAAGCATGTGAGGACCAGGGGAGGCCGGCCTGGGAGGGAGGAGAGGCCAGCAGCGCCAGGACCAGTGGGGCTTCTGTGGTGCTGGGAGGCAGGGTCCTGCGTGTCCTTTCACCTTTCACCCAGGCCTCAGCTACAGGACAGGGATGGCCCTCCCTGCCCCGCCCAAACCTTCGTCCCACTGACCACACTGCCCTCGAGGCTCCTCCATTTCTTCCCTGGGTCAGCCACAGCCCTTCAAAGCCCAAATACCGCCAAGGGAGGCCAGGCCAGGCGTGGGGCTCCCTCAGAACTGAGCTTTCCAGATGTGGTCTCTAGCCCCTCACTTCTGCCCCATCACCCCCTTTCCTCTCCCTTCCCAGACTCTTCACCCCGACATCATACTGCCTGTCTTCCAGGGGCCTCCCCTCGCCCCCACCTGGAGTGTGCGGTCATGAGGGCTCCGCACAGAGTGCCTGGCTCTGGGCCGTGGCTGTGCACATGTGTTAGTGAGAGAATGTGGGTGAGTGGGCGGAGCGATGGCTGGGTGATTGGTGGGCGGAGGGATGAATAGAGGCCTGTCAAGTGGGCACCAGGGAGGCCAAGCTCACTTGGGCCCCCACGCATCCACCCCACCCTGGCCAGGACCCGTCCACTCCGGCTGAGAGGACCCAGGTGTTTGGGCTGCCTCTGCACTTGCAGCGGGCGAGACCCCAGGAGGAAAAATGACCAGAGTGGGTCAGGCAGGAGCGAGGGTGCTGGGAATTGGGAGGGGTCAGAGCCATCGTGCTCACCACGCCGACCATCCTGTCACCTGCCAGGAATGGAGCAGGAGGGAATTCAGTGGCTCTCGCCTCACTGGCTTGGCGAGGCCACCCTGCCCTCCCTCCGGTTGGGGTCACCGGCCAGGCTGTCCCTGAAGCAGTCTCCTCAAACAGTCCTGCTGTGGGACCCTCCCCGGCACAGAGGGGACCCCGCCCAGCACAGCCCTAGGCTGGGCCTGGGTGCCTTCTCTCCGGCTATTAGGGGGACCTGGCTGGGCCTTGGGGTCTGATCCCACGGCAGGAGCCCTTGTCCAGCACACAGTTCCGTGAGACCTTGTGGGAAGGGTGCTGTGTCCAGCCCCCAGGCCACCCTGACCACTCGGGGAAACAAGTGTCCTCCTGGGCCAGAAGCCTCCACCTGCCACCACACCCCTCAGGCCCTGGGCCTCCCTGCCCTCAGCACCACGGACAGCGCCCGCCCAGCTGCCTGTGTCCCCCCCACCACCACCACCCTGCCCCCACTCTTGCCAGAGGGAGAGGCCAGCTCTGTGCCATCTTGGCCCGTTTCTGGTAGCACAAGTTCTGAAAGCCAAGTGCTGCAGAAATGTGACATCGGACCATGTCTCCCCTTCGGACCGCACTCCCTTCCACACACCCATTAGTGACCCAGTGGTTCTCAACCTTCCTCATGCCGAACCCTTTAATACAGCTCCTCATGTTGTGGTGACCCCCAACCATAAAATTATTTTCGTTGCTACTTCATAACTGTAATTTTGCTACTGTTATGAATCGTAATGTAAATATCTGATGTGCAGGATGTATTTTCATTGTTCGCGACCCACAGGTTGAGAACCGCTGCAGATACTGTGCCGCACAGGCGCTGTGACCAGGGGGAGGGGAGAGGTGGCTGCTTCCCAGCTTGGAATCTAAAAAGCACCAGTGTCTCCC